TACAATAAGTAGACATACATTAAAGACAAGGACTAGAACACTATTTACATAGCTATATAAAAATTAATAGTTTAGATTATGAGCAACAGCTTAAGTTGAAAGAACGGCATTCTGTTAACATCGAAAGAAGAGTCTAATTGAGAAACTAATTCGTACGATTCCTTCGCGAAATGTGTAAATTATGCTCCCATACTGCTTTGCGGTCGTATCGCGCACACTGCCTGGTGTCTTACTGTAAGAACAAATTTGAGTAAGATATTATCATATTGAGCATTATATAGGTATTGAATTTTATAGATGCTGCATTATAGACATGAGTTTTATACGAATGGATTTACCAGGTGCTTTTATATAAGCGCCCTAGCCTATTCATGAGGAAAATACAAAAGAAATCACTGCACCTTTAAAACATTCGCAGTTCGTGCTTTAAGGCCCTGTCACACTATTGCGTACGAGAGAAACGTATGAGAAGCGTATGAAAATTAATGAAATAATTTTCATACGCACAAAAATCCTTTGAAATACCAGCGTATGAGTACCGTACATCTGGCGTACCTCTAGCGTATTCAGCGTGTGCCTAGAGTATGCTTATCGTATAAAGCCATACGTCCGATACGCGCAAAATTTTTGAACATGCTTAAAAGAAAAATTCTGCCTCGCCGTATGCCAGCGTATGCCACCGTATGCGACCGTGCTTGAAACGTATACAACCTATGCCTAACGTACCCCTAGCGTATGTGAGCGTATACCGGCGTATGAGTGATATTTTTCATATTTTTCATACGCTGGCATACGCTGGTACGATACGCAATAGTGTGACAGGGCCTTTATCAGATATAAACCGAGCTGCGCTCTCGTGTTTTATATCTGATGAAGCACTCCTGCTCGTGTTTTAAATAGTTAAAACTCGCTTCGAAATACATATAAGCCAATCAGGAACGGAAAATTCGAGTGCAATTTGAAGTCGTTCACGTTCTGAATCGTGTCCAGTGTGTTTTTTTCAGGGAACATGCGGTGCAATGATTCTGTTTGACAAATTTTATTGGTTAAATATTAAATGTACGAATACAAAATCATGAAATATTAACGCGAACGAGAATAGTAAAGTACCCATGGGAGGCGCCTTCCCGTTAAGATAAACTATATATGCAGTAACTAAAAATTATGATATGAGAGTAAATATAACTACATGCCTAGTTCAATGTCAGAGACGGTCATGAGACGGTGTCCATGCATGTACACGGCATGTCGATGTCGAAGAGTGTGTCAAACAGTGTTAGATATCTTTGCTTGATAATATTCATACTAAACCTCGTCAAAATAAAAGTAGACAAAGCCGGTCAAGGTCGAAATCATCAGGAAACTTGATACTAAACAATTTGTTTTAAAAATCCTCGGCATTTTAACTGGTAACGAGGAAGCTTTTTGCCACTCAAAACTTAGTCTTTTAGTCTTCCTCTGTATGTTCTACCGAGCACGGAATAGACTTTAAAAGATGTCAAGCGTATCTCTTGTTTTGCTTTTTACGTGTAATGCGATACTTATTGGTCTGCCTTTAGCTGAAGGCACATGCAGTTCGAATTCTGATTGTCCTGGCAAATTTTTCAACAATGTTTGCTGTGGCAGAAGCTGGTATGGCGGAAGAAGATGTGTTACCGATTCCTGTGTCGGAGACTCTTGTTCGACAGATGGGGATTGTGGTGGAAAAGATGAATGCTGTATTTCAAACAAATGTACGAAGAACGGTTGTGTAGAATGCCAGTCAAATTCTGACTGTTCTTCCTCGGAGTACTGTTGTAAACATCGATATCACAACGATCACAACGTCTGCAGACGCAGTTGCGTTGGGGAAACATGCCACTCAAGTTTAGACTGCGGCGGTCCGACGGAATATTGTGCCTCGAATAAGAAATGTCGGGAATGGTGTACTTCGAAATCTGACTGCCATTCGTGGGAGTATTGTGCCTCGAATAAGAAATGTCAGAAGGAACGGTGTACTTCGAATTCTGACTGCAATTCGTCGGATTATTGCTGTAAACGAGGTACTCTCACTAATGTATGTCGCAGAAGTTGCGTCGGGGAGACATGCCTCTCCAGCTATGACTGCGGAGGTTCGAGTGAATTATGTTCCTCGAATAAAATATGTTACAAATGCGTTACAGCTGGTTGCTCAGCATGCACTTCGGATTCTGACTGTGGTTCGCGGGAGTATTGTTGTAAACGAGGTATTCTCTCTAATGGCAATGTATGTCGCACAAGTTGTGTTGGGGAAACATGCCATTCGATTGTTGACTGCGGAGGTCGACGGAATATTGTGCCTCGAATAAGAAATGTCGGAAACAATGTACTTCGAATTCTGACTGCGATTCGTCGAAGTATTGTTGTAGTGGACGTTGTAAAGGAGATTGTGTCGGCGTGACATGTTTCTATGATGCTGATTGTGGAGGTCCTGGGGAGGTCTGTCATTTACCTTCTACGAGTTGTACGGTACCTCTGGCTGGATGGGTTATACCAGTAATCTGCGTTGGTGTGGTACTGTTCGTTATCCTTGTCGGCATTATTTGGGTGTACCGTCGTCGTCGTCGTCGCTCGTCCCGACGTGCAGTTGTGGTGGTGCGAGAACGGCCCGCACGAAGAGCCACTGCGATCATAGCCCTACGTGAAACCAAGATTCGTAGCACCCATTCAGCACCAGTTTATAATTCTCCTCCTCCCCCTTACTACAACCTGGGTCAAGATTTCCCACCCCCTCAAACCCACCAGTTGCCCTCACAACCCCAACATGGGATGCCACCCCCACAACCCCAACACTTTCCTCAACCTCAACCCTTACATTTCCCTTCGTATTGAACGATGATGTGTGTGAACCAACTATACCTTATAGATTATATATATTTGTTCTATAAAATATCGATTATATATTTGTTGTATAAAATCCTTGATGATGTTTAATGTATAGGGCTCTACAATCTTGGATATAACCCTTGAGACCATTCCAGCCAATATTACAAAGTTAAAGCCATAGATATCTTATATACACTAGATAGTGCATCTACTGATTATACTGCAATTCAAAAATTGAAGCCGTGATTGCAGACTCAGGATATTCCCATGAAATGAGAAGATTCGTATATGTTTTTCTATTTCTTAAACAGGGAACTTAACATTAAGTTAAACCTATTCCAAATACATTTTTAAACTATTCAAATGATGAAAGTTATTGTTGTTTTTTAAGCGTTTATTAGCGAGTGGGAACTATACCAACATGGCCGCCATCTATTCAAATGGGGGTAACCGCTGGAATATTCTTGGCTTCAATTTTACTAAAGAGATGCGCTATCTAGTGTATATAAGATATCTATGGTTAAAGCACATTCAGAGAACAAACTTCATCACCCCCTGTACCTGGTTCAATGTTGTAAACGACTTTCAGCAATTTATCACGACACAAGTTCGACATTAAGTTGGGGGGAGTGAGGGTGGAAATGGAATTTATCATATGCGAATTTTGAATGGAGGGAAATGTGAATGGAGGGAAAAGTGGTCTCAACCAGTTATGTCAAAGATTGTGGCTCTGTTTCCCAGATGGGTTTAGTGGATTTTAGTGATTATAGATGATATATTTGTGTAAATCGAAGTAAAATCATATAGAACAGTTTTTCTTAATTAAAGTTGTCAAAAAATTGTACTTCTTGACAATACTTTGAACCATCCAGTCAAATTACAATACAAAAATTTTTTCTAGATTATTCTTCATTTAAAGAGTTTTTTTAAGATGTCCATAATTTTTCCAATAATTGTATGTAAACAATAAAAACACTCTGGTTTAAAACTCCTGGTTAGTCTAGAAATAATACTATATGGGTATTATTCATTGATTTATTTTTTTGTGTGTTTTTTTAAAAATATACAGCTGATTCAAAAAAAGTTGTAAAAGTTTATAACATTAAACTCGAACCGCGAAAAGGGCAATAGGAATACACAGTGTTTGCCGTATTTAGTCAGAGAGACCTAATTGTCACAATCCTTGTGCATACAGCCAAGATTCACGATGGAGAGCATTCCCATTGCACTTTTCGCGCTTAGAGTTTAAGGTCTAAGGTTCAGAGTTTGGAAGGGCAACCTTTTTGGCGTCTACTGGAACAGTAGTCTCCATATGCTGTCGACAAGAAGTTTAGATATATGTATGCAGTGGACGGTTCACTTCTCCTGCGAACAGGCTCTTTGGTTAGTCAAATGCATGCCCGCGCATCTACGAAAGTTTCCGAACTGTTTACGATAAATGGTTTTATCATTCATGGTTTTATCATTCATCATTAAGCATTCTCTGTTTTTGATCCAGTAAACGCCATGTACGCTACAGCGTACCTATTTTTGAATTAGCTGTATGCATATTATGAGGCAAGTTTACAACAAGTTTACACCCAACAAAAAAAGTCAATAATCAACACGAAAAAAATCAATAATCAACACTATTAAAAGGCAATGCCATTGAGCCACTTTGGATGCATTAATATTATACTGAAAAAGCGACGGATTGAGCGAAGGCTCTTTCGAGAAGTTAGTCGCTTCCTGACGAATGCTTTCGTTCATAACCAGTGGCGTAGCCACGGGGGGTACTGGAGGGGGACGAGTTCCCCCCCCCCCCACTCTCCTTCAGAACTACCTTCGAGATAAGTTTAAATCCGTTGACATTGGGGGGTAACACTGATCCGATTTTTAGCTAAAAACAGAAAGCTACCATTGTAAATAGGAAAATTAGGAAAATTGCATATAGTTCAAAGTCGTAAAATGTACTATTTTTCGTGTATTTTATATAATGTTATAATCTTCTGAATCCTGTAAAATCTCACTTTAAAATTAAATAGTTCAAAGTCTTAAAATGTAATATTTTTTATGTTTTTTTATGATATGTTATAATCTTCTGAATTTTGTAAAATCTCACCCCAAAATGCACGAAATGGGGTTTCATAGTCAAAGAAAGGGAACGCGGCTACCAGTAGCGACAAAAAATTAAAATGATAAAATAAGAGCGAGTTTGAGCCAAAATCTCTAAATTCTTATTTATGGCTTAAGTATAGTCCCGTTTTGATTTTTACCAAACATTTTTACCTCAATTTTGTCTATAACACCGTTTTTGAGAGCGCTCCAAAATAATGCTGATGTCAGCAATTTTGAT